TCCTGCCTCAGCCTCCCTAGTGTTGGGATTATAGGCATTCACCACCAAGCCTGGCCAAATATAATTTCTATTTGTAGTTTTTTGAGAAATCTCTGAACTAGTTGTACTAGTTTACACTCCCATCATCAATGTAGAAGGGACCCTTCTTCCTGTAGCCTCCACGGTGTTTATTGTTTTTAAGTTCTTGATGATAGCCGTTCTTCCTGGGGAAAGATGGAATTTCAGTGTTGTTTTGGTTTGCATTTCTCTAATGGCTATGGATGCTGAATGCTTTCTCAGGTACTTATTGGCCATTTGTATTTCTTCTTTTGAGATGTGTTGTTTTTTTTTTTTTTTTTTTGAGACAGGGTTTCGCTATACAGTTCAGGCTGGCCTTGAACTCACTTTGTAGGCCAGGCTGGCCTCAAACTCGTAGTGGTCCTCCTGCCTCAGCCTCCCAAGTACTGGGATTGTAGACGTGCGCCACCCCAATTTTTGATTGGGTCTGGAAGTTTCTGTCTTATTACCATTGAAGCTAAAAATCTTTTAGGATTGTAACCATTGATGTTTACATTTATGAGGGTTTTTTTTATTGTGTTTATTTTGTGGTACTGAACCCAGAGCCTTTACACTCAGCTGCATCCTAACCTATTTGATTTTTTTTTTTTTTAAATTTTGAGACAAGGCCTTGCTAAATTGCCCAGACTGGGCTCAAATTTGAACTCTTCCTGCCTCAGCCTCTCAGAGTGCTGGGATTATGGGTGAGTACCACCACACCCAGCTCTGAAGGTCTTCTTTGCTATTTCTTTGGAGTTGCAGTTTTTGTTTTTGAAAGAAAGTTTGCTCTGAGAAGGGTATCAACTCTGCCTTGCCTGACCCTATGCCGCAGTTTCTGTGGATGGCATTGGTTTCCAGTAGCTTGCAGTCCCCGGTTTAGGAAGCCATCACTGTGTTGCCTGCTTGTGACCGTCGCTGCCCCTCTGTGACTCAGAAATAATGCTCATGCTGAAACCCTGAAGCCCCTCAGAACACACCAGCCCCGACACGTCGTCGGCCACAGAGCGTGGAGACGGGGCCTCGCTCCCGGGCGTGGTCCTCACCACACAGGAGCGAGGCGCTCACCTCCCAGAGCGGAGCAAGACACAGAGGCAGAGCTGTGCAGACAGGAAGTGCACCGGGTGTTGCCGCAGTGGCAGGTGGAGGGGACATGGGACTAGGCAGGGGTATTTCCTGCAGGGTGATGAAAAGTCCTAAAAATTGGTTGTGCCTGGTTGCACAGCAGGTGGATGAAGACCATTGAGTTGCATCCTTTACAATGTAGATGAAGTTCACGTGCTATGAATTACAACTCCATGCCTTCAAAGGAGAAGATAGACACAGAAGCACACCATGTGCTAAGGTCCGCTCATCCCCAGTTCTGGGACAGAACCAAGTACTCTAAGACGGGATGGAAAGGGGCAGGGCCGCTGGGCTGCACAGCTGTGCCCGTGCCTTGGTCGGGGAAGACACTGCGGTGAGAAACCCGGGGCCCACAGCGCCGTCGCTTTGATCTGACACTCCTTTGTGTTCCTTCTTCACCCAATCGTGATGGTTCTAAGCCAGCTCCCTGCGGAGTAACAGGACGTCACTCCCCGTTCACTGACACCATCCCCAGCCGCACCAGCTCCCTTGGGAGCCACAGTAGCCACGCACGTCACGTACTGGCGTTAGAGAACTAAAAGCACAGGTCGCCTCTGCATGGGGGCAGAAAGCTCTTTCTACCGGGAATGCCATGTCTGCGCTAACCTCAGTCATTTTAAGACTAGGGGACTTGCCCTTTCCCTTCCAAGAGGAAGTGCCTCGATGCCTTTGAAATGTCTTGACGTGCTGCAGAGGTGTTTTTGGAGGTCCGGGGACATTTTGGGAAGTCATGCAGATTACCTAAGGCAAATAACCCTTTCGTGTGGGCTGCATGGGAAACATACAGGCACAAATGTGAGGCTCGGCCTGGAGGACAGGCAGGCGACCGGCCTCCTGAGGACAGCTTGGGGTGTCACTGCTTCTCTCTCGTTGGGTACAGGAGCTGGTCAGGTTGACCATCGAGAAGCAGGGCCGACCGTCTCCGACGAGCCCTGTGAAGCCCAGTTCTCCAGCCGGCAAACCCGACGGGTGAGTGTGACCGGGTTCTCGCGGCAAAGCAGGCAGCGGCGGGGTGCGTGAGGGAGGCTGTGGGTCTCCAGAGGGAGCCAGCTCCCAGTCTCAGAAATCTGGGTGAGTTCCCGAAGCTTTAAAGTATGTGTCCTGCCTCGGTATGTGTCCCCTCACCCCTCTGAGTGTCATGTCCCGTGGGACCAGTTCTAAAGACAGCGGAGGGCCCTTCAGGTTTAACATCAGCGTCATCAAGAGAGGAAAGCCAGGGTGCAGCAGCCACTTCAGGGCCACACGACCCCAACATGGAGCACTGTGGAGCGTGGGCCCAGAGTCCGCCCTTGTATGGGGAGCCCGAGGCTCAGAGTGGGGGACCCAGCCAAGCCTTGGTGTTTGTCAGGGACGGGGCGCTCATATCCTCACCCTCTCAGAACTCCTGTGACCCCATGTTCCTTTCATCTCTCCAGCCAGCCCGAGCTCCCCCTGACTGACCGAGAGGTGGAGATTCTAAACAAGACGACAGGGGTGTCGCCGTCGGCCGAGTTGCTGCCAGACGCTGCAGATGAAGAGGTCGCACCCCCCAAGCCTCCTCTACCTGGCATCCGGGTGGTGGACAACAGGTGACTGTCCGTTTCTCTAGCACCACCCCTGCGCGTGAAACAATGTAGGGTACCAGTGGGAAGAGCTGGGGGCTCACTCCCCATTCCTCGGACGCTCTGAGGTTCCATCCTCGGCCCGGCACACCCCCCAAGTGCTCCTTAGTGGCTTTCGTTTTGGCCCCCACCGAGCGAGCAGGAAAGGATGCCTTGGCTTTCGTTCTTTTGGTCTTTACAGAGTCTGTTTGGCGGGGAGGGGCAGGTTGGAGTGAAGATGTGGAAATTGGGTGTGGAGTGTCTGGTCACGAAGGGCCCCCTCCCATGTCCTATCCCCTAGCACGGTTCTAAAGAGCCCTTGTTTGCGGCGTCTGGTTTGCCTGCATGTTTTGGTCTCTTCCAGTCCACCAGCACTGCCACCCAAGAAAAGGCAGTCGGCTCCGTCCCCTACCCGTGTGGCCGTGGTGGCCCCCATGAGTCGAACCACCAGCGGCTCCAGCTTGCCTGTTGGAATTAACCGGCAGGTAATGCAGCCCCAGTCCTGGGTGGGGTGTGGGGTGAGGACTGCTGCGGCAGGGTTAGCAGGTGGTCATCTCTCCAGGGCAAGGTGTATGTCCCTGTGGATGGAGCCACAGCGCCCGCCCCTCCAGGACATCCCTGGCCCACACCCCCACCCACCGCTGTTCTGTCAGTGCGTGGCATTTGGTGCCGATGTCAGCGGTGGCTCTGAGAGTGGCGGCGTCTCCTTCTAACTCAGAGTCGCGATTGCCCAGCCCGGACTGCTGGAGGCTCTCAGAAGCCCCTTGAGCTTGTCTCCTTTCTCTCCTAGGACTTCGATGTGGACTGTTACACGCAGAGGCGACTCTCGGGAGGCAGCCACTCGTACGGCGGGGAGTCGCCCCGCCTGTCCCCCTGCAGCAGCATGGGCAAGCTCAGCAGGTCTGATGAGCAGCTCTCCTCTCTGGACAGGGACAGCGGGCAGTGCTCCCGGAACACAAGCTGTGAAACACTAGGTGAGTGCAGCAGTCACTTGGGGCCGGAAGACCCTGGCTCAAGTCCTCTGACCCCAGTCACTAGCCAGGTGACGCTCCCAGACCCCTTACAGTCCATGCCGCGGTCACCGCATCTGCAAATGACACTAACGTCTGCCTGTCACAGAGGCCAAAGGTGTCCACAAAATAGTATGAGACCACCCCAAAGGCTAACTGTCCTCTGGCGATATATCACTGCATGTTGTGCTTAGTTTTTAGTGAAGGTTTAGTGACACTGTGATCAGGGCAGTCACAGGTCGGGGCAGCTTGGCTAGAGCCTGAGGACACTGGGCTGTTCACGCCCTATGAGCTCCATGTCTTCACTTCTGCCAGCGTAGTCAGAGCTTGCGGCGAGCCTCAGTGCAGGGCCTCAGGGCCAGCGTCATGGGGGGCGGGGGCTGGCACTCTGGGGACTCAGTGCTGGGGCCCAGAGGCAGTGTGGCACAGTCCCTCAGTGGGTCAGTCCATGGCTTTTAAATGCCCCTTGTGGTGTATTAATAAGTGAGAAAAGTCCACAGGCATTTGCATAGGCTTTTTCTCAGATGAGTTTAAGAAAACCCCAGAGGAAGAAGAAACTTTGGAGAAATGCGTCAAAATGTAAAGAGAGGTGCTAGGTTCTGGGACTGCCCTGATCTTTACTTTTGTGATGGCTTGCCGTGTTTTCTGCAGTTATCGGGTAGGTTAGGAATTTAAAGATACAGGACAGGGCTGGGGAGCCTGGGTCTCCGCCACAGCACTGCTCTGTATCCACAGAGAGGGTGACTGAGGGAAGATCAGCAGACAGGATGAGTGCAGGAGCTCAGAAAGATGGGCTGGGACAGATGGGAGCGAGACCCGGCAGGGCAGAAGGCCGCGCCTTCATGTCTCTGGGACCTTGCAGCTAACAGGATCTGTGTCCTGTGATTGCAGATCACTATGACCCCGACTACGAGTTCCTGCAGCAAGACCTCTCCAACGCAGACCAGATACCTCAGCAGATGGCCTGTCACCTCAGCCCATTGCCAGAGTCCTTGGGGGAGTCTGGGTCTCCGTTTCTTGGCCATCCTTTCCAGCTGCCACTTGGCAGCTGTCCCCAGCCCGAGGGCCCCTCAGCCACGGACACCCCACCCGCCCTGCCTGAAAAGAAGCGCAGGAGTGCAGCCTCGCAGACCGCGGACGGCTCTGGCTGCAGGGCGTCCTATGAGCGGCACCCCTCGCAGTATGACAACATCTCAGAGGACGACCTGCAGAGCTCCACGCCGGCCCCATCCGTCCCCTACTCGCCCTTCGCTGCTCTCCTGCCCTTCCAGCAAGGAGGCTCCTCAGTGCCCATGGAGTTTGTGGGTGATTTCACCACTCCCGAGTCAGCGGGTGACCCCGAGAAGCCGCCTCCTCTGCCGGAAAAGAAGAACAAGCACAGTAAGCTCGTGTCAAGCCCTGGGCAGGAAGTGTGCTTGCTCACTAGTGTGGCGGTGCTCTGTGTTCAGTTAGCTTGTGACCAGCGCAGACCAGTGCTTCATAGGACACGGGGTGCTGCACACGTGTCCTTGCCAGGCGCCTAGTGCCACCGTTCCAAGCAGTCATCATTTCTGGTTGTCCTTCCCTAAAGCCCAATAAGCTGGCCTTTCCTTAGGTCTCTGTAAAGTCCCAGGCCTGGTCCACAGAGCCCAAGTGCTTCTCCTCTTCAGATGGCAGTTAGTGGACCCTCTGTCCTGAGTACACGGTGACAGAGGGGAAGAGTGTCACGGTGCACAGGACAGTGTTACACAACCCCTGTGTACAGGGAGGTGGGTGTAAGCAGGACTTGCCTGGCTTAGTGGCTTTCCACTAAGCCGAGTGATATTCCAAGGGTCCCTGCTTAGAGACGTGCTGGGTCCATGCCAGGTGCACACTGTCCTCGAGCAGCACAGGGCCAGGGACAGGCAACACACTCACAGAATCCCGGGATCTGGCCAGAGGGGCTGATGATGCCTTAATAGATGATATATGTCCAAGTCCAGGGTGGATCGGAAGCCTGAGTGTATAGTTGGGTATTTTCCAACTGTGAATTTGCAACAGAATCACTAAGCAGTTTTAGGGAATTC